CCCGGTTCCTCCCCACTGGGAACCGGTTCCCACGACCTGCAGAGTCAAATTCTGCACTTTTGACAGCATTTATTCATTCTAAACCAATTCCAAACATACCCATACGAATTGCAACATGAGAAACACCAAAACACATCCATTTTGCACCATTATAACATCAAACAACATTATTTCATCATTCCTTTTTATCATCTGACACCCTAATGGTTTTCAACCTACAATTCGACGCAATAGGGACAATTCTACGGAACCCTAGAATTCCAAACCGGGATTCCCTAACATACTATGATCCATATTATTGAATATCTAAATCGATAATACGAATTAACTAATCAAAATCACCCCTTACCTTGTGGGTTCTTCGAATTCTGACGCTTCCGGTTTTCTCCTTCTTTTTCCTCTTCTCAAATGCACGTATGATGAATATTCCAAAATAACTCTCTTTCTCTTCTTTTTACTTTTAATACTCCTTTTATTATTCCAATAAAATAATTAAATTAGTAATTAGTAAGAGTAGAGTATTTTACCCCTCACACCCTCTAATCACTCTTCACACCACCAATACTTCTTTCCTTTAATTAATTAAATTAATTCCAATAATCCAAAAATACCAATAATTAAATTTCCAATTAAATTAATAATTAAAAATTATAATTATTTAATAATCGGATTATTTGGGGTGTCACATGAAGCAAGTTCTGAAAGAATGCAAAAGCTAAACAAGTCTTGTCAAGGTTCGGGAAACATGTTCTTACAAGTGCCGTTTGCTCATTTAATGCAAAGACGGCTACGTGCACTCAAGTGTCTACGCTAGTGCATTGGAAAATGGAATAGTGCAAAGAAATACGCCAATGTTTAATGCTCTCCATTTGAAGGCAACAACGGTCATGTTTCTTCATGCTATATATAGAAGAACATTAATTGCAAGCCAACTACCGGAAACACTGAAAGACTGAACTACTGAAGTTCTGATAGAACACATCAATTTCAAAAGAAGCAAAAGCTACGTGAAAATATTATGGGCTCACAAACAAATTTCATACACTTTGTGCTATACTATTCTTAGTGAAAAATCACAGTTGTGATATAGCTTTCTTAGAAGTAAACTTTGTTTCACTATCTGTAAAGATTTATCTCTTGTAATTGTTTCTTGAGAGACCAAGTTTGGTCAGATTTCTCAAGTAGACTAGGACTAGTTTAAGTCTTAGTGGTGTGAGCCACTTGTAAGATTACTTGTGCATTGTTAGTCACAACAGTTATTGTGTGATTGTAATCAGTTGATTATAGTGGATTAAGTCCTTGTTGAGAAATGCGAAATCACCTTGGCGGGTGGACTGGAGTAGTTTGAGTTCAAACGAACCAGGATAAAAATAACCTTGTCTTTCCATTATTGTTGAGTCTTTAAGAAAAAGAAAAAGAGAAACTTATTAACCCCCCCCCCCCCCCCCCCCTTTCTAAGTGTTTTCTCCACCTTCACAATCGTCTCACTCTCTACTACAAACTCTTTCATAATCTCTTATAATTTCAAACTCTTTCATAATCTCAGGCATTTTCAACAATGGATCTTCTCACAATGGGCGATTCTCACAGAGGCACAAGAGACAACATTTCAGCATTTGTAAGTTTCTTTTATAGTTATACATTTTTCATACTTCTGGTAATGCTTTGTTCATCTTACTTACTCTTACACCTTTTACATTTTAAACTCAGGATACCAAAAGATTCAGAATCCGGTCTCACAACTACCTTGCTCTCGACCCATTGATCGTACCATATCTGGAATACGCAGATTTTGGACACGTTATAAAGATCTCCAACTGCACTATTGATTCAAAGTTCATACTTGCAATGTTGGAAAGGTGGAGACTAGAGACCCATACATTTCACCTACCAATAGGTGAATGTACCGTCACGCTAGAGGATGTGTACATGTTACTGGGTCTCCCTGTCAACGGTAAGACCGTTAACGGGTCGATTCAGCAACCCAATTCTCTGTGTGAAGAATTGTTGGGCAGGGATATGGTTGAAGGTGGTGGTGTGAGAGGTCAGGGTATACTACTAACTGAGCTTAAAAATCATTATGCGACTTTGGAATTAAACGAAAATTCCTCCGAGCTAGCCAAGGTAATAAAAGCTAGAACTTATATAATGATACTATTTGGAACCTTTTTATTTCCCGAAAGTACGGGAAATAGTGTAAATTTTATGTATTTAAATTTACTTAGAGACTTCGAAAAAACTAGAAAGTATAGTTGGGGTTCTGTTGTTTTAGCCCACCTATACAGTTCCTTGTGTAAAAATGCAATCAAGGAAAAATGTACATTTTATGGCTGCGTTTTTTTACTTCAAGCCTGGGGTTGATGGAGAATGGAGTCCTTAAACCTCGTCAACAACAACACATTCATTTTCCCGTACGCAACAAAGTAAGTCATCAAGTTATATCATTTATTACTATTCATCTCTTCACCAAATATATGATAAAAATAAAATATTTTTCATTTTCTTTAGGTATTGCGTGAGGGGTATGGATTACGGTAAGAATCCAAGATTCAATGTCGCACTATACTGCAATCTATTGGATCACCTTGGCCCGGATGATGTACGTCGTACCTTTCAACTTTTCTACTTCTAAAATAATTTATATATTACGTTTTCATTAACCTGATTTAATTTTATGCGCAATTTTTCTGAAGACCATATTTGGGTTTGGGCCATGAACCAAACCCCGAGGATGCAACAATTTAGAGCGCCAAGACTGCAATCATACGGTTCAATATTATGGAGATGCACCACAGCGACCGTGTGAAGATGCAGTTTGGAATGCATCAAGAGATACCCAGCGATCCGACTTGTTTGTCCCCGTGGCATCTCAAAAGGGTCGACGCCCAATGGGGTCTTACCAACTGAAAAGACTTTGCTCCAGAATGGTGTAAGATGTGGCAGAGGCGTCACCGACATGTCTTACAATTCCCAGTTTTCCTCAATCATGGTAATATGCGACACACGAATCAGTATTTATCTTGGTACAGATCGGTTAGTAACCCTGAAATGCACGTGTCTCATCCAAGGTATTTGGTTGACCCACGAACACAATGGGCACAACCCTCATTTCTCCAACAACAAACCCAACACACATCAACCTCCCACTAATCCCCAGACGAAACAGAACCACAAACACCCAACCACAATCGCCACCACAATACAATTACACCCACATGCCCCACAACCAACCACAATCACCACCTCAGTACCAATACCCCCATATGCCTCACACCCAACCGCAATTTCAATCACAATACCAACACACCCGCATACCCCACACACAATTTCAGTCTTCTGCATATCCCGATATGGGCCCCTCAACATCCAACCTTAGCCCTGATCTGGGAATGTCGGAAGATTATGAACTAACCGACTCAACTTACCATCAACCACAATATCACCAAACCACCCAACATCCTCAATACCAAACACCCCAAGATGTATTTCCTTTCTACCCCCCGTACTCAGACGATCAATGCTACAAACCAACCATGGAACCCCACCCACCGCCAACACGACCAAACTTTGAGGGTATGGGTAACCGACTGTACCAAAACGAATCTTCTAGATGTGGAGATCTGACTGATTTCATGGATCCGGAACGCATTGACTTCGCTGGGCCATCGACCCTACCACAACAGAAAACGCGATAAAACCCAGCACGGGAAAGGCGAGGACGGGGATGCAGAACTGGGGGTCATTACCGGGTTCCGGGAGACCACTGATTAATTTGTTTTTTTTTAATGTAATACTTATGTGTGTAATCATATTTTGTAAATAAAAAGTCAATTTTGTTGATCCTATATCGAATACGTAATGCACCGCATTGAAAAAAATGCAAAAATTGCCCTAGCAAATGCACTAAGGCGCCATCTCACTTGGCTTAGGGCAAGCCCTAAGCACCTAGGCGCCAAGTGAGATGGCGCCTCCCCTTAAAAGGTAGGTGTAGGTGCCAACTAATAAGTAACATAGTCGAACTCAATTTTAATAGTCCATGAAATAATCGAGCCGATTCACTCTTACTCGTTTATACATTTTGGTCCACTAAATCGATCTTATTGACAACTCTATTTCTAAATTTATTTTACACATTAGTTTCAGTTTCAATGTGAATTCACTTTTATGAGATGCCAATTTTTTTTTAGCATTTACATTATATTAAGTGACAGGGTTTCTTTAAATACCTTTTATTTAGAAGAAAAATACTATCTTTAGATACCTTTTATATATATACTGTTCATAGAAACTAATATATATATATATATATATATATATATATATATATATATATATATATATATATATATATATATATATATATATATACTGTTCATAGAAACTTTTTTTTATAAATATTTTTCTTTAAAATTATTTTGATTAATAAAATATTAAAAAAAATTAATATAGTTCAAAGTTTGATTAATATATATTCAAAAAAAAAAGTTATATAACATACTTTTGGTTAATATCATATAACAAGTTTGGTTAATATAATTCATAATTTGGTTAATAAGTTTTCAAACATACAATAATAAAATAAAATTAATTAATAAAATTTAAAAATTAGTTAATATATTTATAAATTAATGTTAGAATATGGTTAATAATATATATTTTATTGATTAATGAAGTAGTAAAATTAGTTAATAAAATTATAAAAAAAATAATTGATTAATAATGCATATTTTTGTGATTAATTCAATTATTAAGATTATATTTGTGTTATAAAATAAATTTTAAAAATAATTTTTATTTTGAAAAAAATAATATTAAAATAATAAATAAGTAAAATTAACCAACTCAACTTTGGGGGAAAAAAAACATCACTAACGCAACTAAAAAGTTAAATTAATCAATAAATTATTTATCCATCAATGAGGTGATAAACAAATAAGAATAATTAAAAAAATGCAACAAAAAACAAGAATAAAATAAAATTACAAAAATAGCAAAATGTTTCAAAATGACAAGGCAACCCAAAGAGCCACGCCACCAAAAACAACCGGAGCCCCGGAAATCGACCATGAACCCGAATCATCGCCGATAGGACCCGGAGAAGAAGTCTCCGGCGAAGAACTCGACGGTGCAGTTCCAGGCGGCGATTTGCTAGACGGAAGTGTTGCCGGTGAATCTGCCGGAGTAGCCGAACTAGAAGGGATTCCTCCTGAAGAAGAAGCCTCTGGTGGAGAAGAAACTGATGGACCCTCTGTCAACGATGGAGCCTCAACAGGACTACTTACCGGAGCCACCGCTGCAGTTGGCGGAGGAGTTGCTGGGGACGGAACCGGTGGCGAAGACACATTGGTGGATGGGCTGATAGCCGGGGAAACTGAAGACGGTGGCTGAACAGTCGGAGACTTCGCCGGCGGTGGGGTAGAGGTAGACCCAGATGGAGAAATCGCTGGAGTTTGTGAAGGCGGAGATAAAGTCGGAGACTTTGCAGGGGATGATGCTTTAGAAGCCGTGGGAGACTGTACCGGAGAAACCGAGACCGTAGACGGTGATTTTGCCGGCGGTAGAGAAACCGGTGACTTAGGAGAAGAAACCGGAGCATTCTCTGCACAAACCAAAACCGAGGATGTTGTGAAGAACATAGAAAGTACTAAGAGTGAAAGCAACTTATTCATTTTTTTTTTTGAGATTTTGAGGATTTGGAAAGTACGAGGATGAATGTCGGAAAAATAGTTACAACAATGTTGAAAATCTAAGCGGTCGTGTTTATGTGTCTTGTGAGAAACGTTGGTGTTGGGAAATTTATAGGATGAGAGATTGGGAGCGTATAGAACAAAAATGTGACCGTTGCGATGGTTCACATGGTATGGCCAGTAAAATAGCCGTTGATGGTTGGTGTCATTGGACCGATCTGACATGTTTTGTTTGGATTCTTTATATGGAGATAAAACAAATTAAACAGCCATGTCTGGACTAGATTTATATTATTATTCAGATCAATATTTTATTGTCATGTTTCTTTGTTCCTTTGGGTTGGGAAGGGTTGTGTTGTGGTGAGAGTTGAGAAGAGATAATATTGAAGGAAAATTGATTCTTAACTGTATTAGGTAAATTACCCGGTCGTTGCACGGATTTATTATAATATTTATAAAATAAAATTTGTATTTTAAAATGTTAATTTGGATAAGTGTAATTCAATAAATAAATATTTTTCAGTTAGTTATGTAATTTTATTTAATAATAATTTATATTAAAAATAAAAAAGATTTTTTAAAAAATGACAGTATTTGATGAAGTTAAACCGTAGTTAGTTGGAATTGATTCCAGAATTAGACTATATTGATGGTGAAAAAAAACTATAAATTTTACATAAAAAATTAATATGATTTATTTGTCAATTCTATAAAAAGTTCAATACAGTATATATTTTGTTTGTAAAATTATTTATGTAAAAACTTTTAATGTATTTCACATATTATTGTAGTATTTTATATTTTATATATTTATATTTATTAAAACCATAATAATACTCATTTGTATATAATTTTTTTTAATAGACAATAGATTCATATAAATCAACACTTTAAATATCTTTTTGTTGTTTATTCTATATTTAAAAAATAAATAAAAGAACTTAAATTTATACTACATGAATATCATTTAGAATGACAATTAAAAAAAAAATATACGTTGTCTTTTTTATGTTTTTTATTTATGGTACTATTTTTTTATCTATTATAGTTAAATATTTATTTGCATATATATTCAATAATTGCATGGATCCTTCTACAATGATAACATATTATGTAAATTAATCATTAATTAAAAATATTAATTAGGATAGTTAATTGGAAAATGAAAGATCGTAAATTATTATTTCAATTAGTAATGATATTATAAAATAATTAGGTATTATTATATTATTAATAAAATAAGACATAAAGTATATTATGACATTAATCATTCATAAGTCTCAATTGTTTTCTCCTTTGAAATTTTTTTCTAAAACCTAACTTAACGGCCTTGTCAAAAAAATATATAAACTAATAGATTTGTAACTTTCTACATATTGTCCAAAATATTTTTCAGTTATAGATATTATCTAAAGAGAATTATACAGTCAAAAACTAATATATATTATAAAAGTTTAAATTATAAAATACTTATTTTAAGTTTCCTTTTTAAAAAAATAATAGAATGTGATTGTATCTGATTAGAATGGACTGTCACAGCTTACGTCAAACAGAGCTTGAGAGTGAGGTGGTATCTGCAAGACACTCCAATGCGAAAATGAGATACGGAATGGTGCGAGCAAGTAAGAAAGTGAGAAATGTTTAATACCTGACTCTCTTAAGAGAGAGGGTATTTATAACCCTCGGCGCTGGGCCAATGTCTCCTTATTAGGCTGGTCAAGCAGGCCCAAAGTGAAGACTGTCAGGTCCTACGTGTAACACTCTGAATTTTAGATTAATGATTTAATTAATTAACTTAGTATGATTATATGAGTCTATGTGAAGTAGATGGTGTTTTGATGTTTTGATGCTTATTTATGATATTTTGGTGCCTTGTGTGAGTCTTTGTGACGGTATATGATGTGTATTCATGATGTAATTGTGATGCAAATAGCGATGATTTGATGAATAAGGTGTTTAAGATGATGATTTGTGTGGTGTAGGATGAGTTAGTAAGAAGGTTTGAAATTTAAATAATTATTTTGGAATTACTTAGATTTAATAGAATAATAGAAGTGTAGAGAAAATAAGGACAATATGGTAATTAGTAGAAAGAGTGAGGGTGTGATGCGGTGGGAGAACTGACTTGGGTGTTTTGCATTTGTGTTCGTAAAATGTTGCGGTTTAGCAAGAGTCGCCACCGACATTTCTTTTATCCAAAAGGAAAGGTGAAAAAACACAGGAAAGACCTTTAGAGATGTTTTCTTGAGTTCAGGGGGTAGATTATGAAAAGGGAAGGTATTAGCACCCTTTTCATCCATGGTTTTCCATGGGCTCTTAGTTACTTGCCAGATCACTTGCTTTAGTTTGAATGTGTGCTTTGTGTGGTTTTTGAAAGTATTTTGAAAAAGCGCCATCGTTTAGGCAAACTTTGTAATACAAAGTGTTGAGCTTTTGAAAATATTTCATGTTTGGAAAGTGTTTTGAAAGTGTTTGTTTGTGAAAATAGCAAAGATGTTTGTTTTGAAATTGAGCAAGTAATTAGGAGCATTCTACTTACTCAAAAGGTCTTAGATGTTCTTTTCCTCCTCCTTTAGATGTTGCTATCTTACCATTGCTTTGGTAAGAAGCCCCATCGTAGGATGTGAAGGGACGAGCGTTGGGTCATCGTATGACCATGATAACAATATTGTGAGATGACTTAGCATTTTTCTTTTAGGGACTAAGATCATTTCGAAAGGCAACTTTGATAGCGTTATCAAGGGACTATTGTTGTACCCCAAAATTTGCCCTCCCATATTCTTCAAGATTTGTCAAGAATGATCCTCAAATTGTTCAAGATGGCTCAAGAGTTGGACAGTCCAAACCACCTCCTAAGCCAGCTGAAATTAGGGTTTTGGTTCTTTCAAGGAAGTTGGGGTTTTCAATGGTTCAATCAAGTCTCATAGGCCTATATGCATTCTCAAGCACCTACATGCCAAGTTTCAAGACTCACAGTGCCAATTTGCACAGTCAAAAGCCTCATTTGATCTACAGTCAACTGCAAGGGCAAAATTGTCATTTTGCAGTCAAAAGTCAGAATTTTTGGTCAACATCTCATTTTGAGTTCACAATCATCATTTGATCAATTCTTGATCATGATTCCACAAGGATGACTCAAAAATCATCAAAGTGCAAAAAATTACTATTTTTGGACAGCAGAAAAGTCAACTGTATCTTGACCAGGGCATAACTTTTTCATGGTTTGTCAGAAAAATCTCATCCAATGCTCATTTTGAAGGGGATGAAATCTCCTACAATTCATCTTCACACTCCAAGTTCAAGAAATGCACTCACTAGAAGTTACCAATTTTTACATTATAGGTCAATTTCAAAAGTCAACAAAAGTACACTTTGAGTCAAAGGCCACAACTTGAGATTGGTAAATCCAAATGACATGGGACCAAAGGCATTGGTTAGAGGACTTCAAAATCTTTCCAAAATGTCCAAGAACATGGTCATATGATTACAATTGAGCAAGTTGTGCATTGGAGAAGTTGGGAAATTTTTATGAATTTGCAAAAGTCAACTTTGCTCAAAACACCTTATTTTTGCTAATGGGCCTCAAATCTCTTCTTGAAACTTCATCCATGACCTATGCACGACCCACCAAGCTAAATGGGATTTATTTTCTTATTTTTATTGATTAATTGGATTTTTAATTAATATTAATTCATTTAATCAATTTAAATCATAAGAAAATACAAGATTTGATTTTTAAATCAACTTATGAAGCAAATCTGATCAAAACATGCTGGCAAATTCGTGCACAAGTCAAAGATACAAAAAAATCCAAATTTGTCAACATTATTCAATCATTAAAAATCAAGGATATTTGATTTTCAATCAAAGATTTAAACATCAATGCAATGGATATTGGCCCAGCTTTTTGACCTAATTTGTTTCCCTTATATGCAAGCAAGCAAACCCTGACCCAGGGGACGATTGAAAGGCTCACTATGCCAAACAAGGGATTAGACAGCGCTTTTTTAGGCCTTTAACAACACTTAAAAGCGCTGCTAAAACCTCCGCTGCTAAAGGTATAGACAACGCTTTTTTTTCAATCACTTTAGACAGCGCTTGGTAAAAGCGTTGTCTATTACCCCCCTTTAGCAGCGCTTTTCCTCTTTTTTTTTAATTTTTTTTTCAATCACTTTAGACAGCGCTTTTCATGAAAAGCGCTGTCTATTACCCCCCCTTTAGCAGCGCTTTTCCTCATTTTTTTTTAATTTTTTTTTCAATCACTTTAGACAGCGCTTTCATGAAAAGCGCCGTCTATTACCCCCCCCCCCCCCCCCTTTAGCAGCGCTTTTCCTTTTTTTTTTTAATTTTTTTTTTCAATCACTTTAGACAGCGCTTTCATGAAAAGCGCTGTCTATTACCCCCCCCCCCCCCCCCCCCTTTAGCAGCGCTTTTTCTTATTTTTTTAAAAATTTAAGTTCAATTGCTATTCAACATTATTCATCATCATTCAAGTTCGAATTGTGAAGCTAAATTTCAAATACATTCATCATCAAAGTCCACAATATTCATCATCATTCTATCAATGATACTTCAAGATCAAAGAAAGGAGTATGCAATTTGGAGAATAAAGTTGGCTTGAATACAAAATGCAAGGACGCTCCAAATTCAAAGGCACCAATACATCAACGCAAGAAAAGTCATCCTTTACAAATTTCAAGGAAAATTATACAAAGATTTGGTTCTAGACCTAATTCTAAAAAAGTCTCTTCAAGTTTGCTTCAAGACCAAGCCTTTGGTCTCGATAACTTCATCCTTCATTCCCAGGCTTCTTCATCTTCAAATTATCATCTTCAAGGCCAAGTATCAAAAACATCGTGATCTTTTAGTATGCAACTTTTATGCCACATCCAAATCCATTCATACCCTCCTTCAAGTTCTTTTCTTTTAGAAAGCTGTGTATCTACCCATTGCTCTAGCCAGTACCTCCATCTTCCGTTCACTTTACTTCTTTGACTCTGCTGACCTCTGAGGGATTTGTGTAAATTAGTTCAACTTGAGAAACTGGTTGGAAAAAGTAATGAAACAGTTTATGACATGAAAGAGTTAGGAGCTTACTCTATGATTAAATGTGTATTCTTTTATTCTTTCTCTCTTAATAATGCCTTCTTTCTTGATCATGCAACAAGCATCTACCTCTTCCTTCAATAAAGTGCTGTCATCCCACTTTCTTTCGCTGTTTGAGTCCATCTAAAAATTTGAAAACTCATGTTTCAAATCATACAAATTTATGTTTGGAATGTGAATTGAGGTAATGAAATAATGTAACATGCCATGCTTTGCTCACCCTAATGATCTTGTCTTTAGAATAAAGAGTCTCTTCATCTTCAACAGAATCCCATCTTCCTTCAACCATTTGGAGTCTCCTTGCATATATCTTTGATTGAATACTTACAATGGACTGCAAGCTCTTGAGAGTACTCATAGCTTGGCGTCTCACTGCTCGCCCACGAATAATCGCTTGAAGTTTTACTATTCCTTTCAATGCCCTAAAAGCCTTCTTTGCCTGTAATGAACATGACAATACTATCACTTGTCCTTGATTTCTTCTACATATTAATTGCCATTACATCTTACTCTTACAGTTTTCTCTATTTGTTTAACTAGAGTTGAATTTTAGAAATCACTAGATCCTTAAGGGGTTTTTGATGTCTGAGTATTGGTATGGAGGACGCATTAGCCACATTTGATGGTTACTTGCAACCTTGATATATAACCTTCTTCTAATAAGATTCATAATTCAATTACTTGTACTGATTTTAAAAGACTATTCCAGATCCAAAAACTTTAGCAGTAAAGATTAAGTAACAAGACAGATTGGAGAAACTCACAAGGTAGCCCCTAAAAGCAGTTTGAATTTTGATGGCTGCAAATTCTTGAATCTCTCTCTGGCACAGATATATTGATCGAGGAACACCATTCCTAGTTTCAACAGGTTCATATTCTTCTGAGCCATCTTGATCTTTTTGATAACCAGATTGTGAAACTTCATTAAGCATAACAACTTGAGAATGCTTGGTTTTTCCCTCCTCCTCAGCTTCATTTGATGTTGTTGCTGGAGCTATAATTGAAGGTAACTTCTTGGTTTTTAGCTTTCCAAATATCCATTTCCTTCTTTTCTCTTTCTGAAATCAAGTTTCTTCTTTCTCATTAGAATAAACAGAATCTTACAACAAAAAAAAAGAATTTAGTTTTTAAAAAGTAAAATTACCTTCTCTTGTGTGGAATGTGTGTCCCATATGAAAAGGCTCTTCACCAGATTAAACCAGCTCTTGTTCTTCTTGGCCATTTAACAATATTAAAAGACTCAACTTCAATATTTGTGATCTGAAACAATGAACCATAACATAAGCTTTCAATAATTTATTTAAGTAATGTGAACGCACAACTCAAAATTAGACTTTGCCAAAAAAGATTCAACAATTTTCTGAACTTGTCATAAAAATTTATTCTTAGTTTGAATAACTAGTCAAAGCAAATGCCAAAAATAATTACATGACTCTCAAGTTGAATAAAAATAATAATAATATGCAGATTCAGATTGAGATTCAAGCTAATCACTTACTCATTTGCTTAGAAGTTAGTAACAAAAAGACAAGATGCACCGTTTTGCAAGAGGTTGGTGCATGGGAACAAAGGGAACTACAATCATTAAATTCAGATTGAATAGCCTTGAAACCAGCAAACATTCTTAATAGTACTTCCAGTTACCAAAATCATGAATGTAGATAGATTTCATCACTAGAAAAAAGTGCACACTTACATACTCTGATCTCTTCATTCATCAAAGAAAAATAGATATGGATATACAGCCAGAAAGAATACAATTGTTTTTATATATTTGTTTATTAGGAATGGATCCTCTATATTTCTCCTTTCTATAGTTTTGGGGTGTATAGGGGAAATTTCAAGCTCGTCTAATATCACATTATCATGCTTTATTCAATAATCCCAATACCATAGTAATGGAGAAAATTGATAGAATGAGAAATGCAGAAGATCCATTCCTTTATTTACTGGGGATATACAGTACACACTAAAAAAGTCCGTTATGAAGCCTTGACTTCAAAATAGAACGTAATACTTTTCTAATTTACCATGTGATCTCTAGGATTCAGACGCCTTTGAAATTCCAACTCATCAAACTCAAAGATAGGCAGCAACTCCACTGCATTGATATCAAGCTCTAGAAGATGTGGGATCTTATATGCAAGCAACAAAATGAGTTTAAATAAAGACATACAATAAATAGTAAGCACCAATCATATAGTAATTAATAAACAGCACAAATATAGTTCCTAAAGTTGGAGGTGGCATGCAACCACTAAACATCGATACACCTTATTAAGTTGAATAACCAATGATAGCAAAGATGTTACCTTCTCAATCACACCAAGATAGCTTCCACGAATTTTGTTATCCAATCCACTAGATTCATCCATTGTAAATGCACGGACATTCATCTCATATATAACAAGATCTTTCTGCATTTGCAGCAAGAGCATAATGAATCCATAAATTGGACTTACTTCATCTAGAAACATACAATACACAGTCATATTCTCATCAACTAAAAATGAAAAGAAACACTAGAGATCAACATCAAGGTAGAATACAAAATCTACATATAGTTTTAAGCATAAAGCAATTTAGATGAAGCCTTGGTTTAGAGAAAAGATTTTATGAATATCATTTTCGAACAACTATCATTTATGCAGGCTGAATACCTCGGCAATATTTGGAAGCTTATAATTCTCTCCCCAGTCAAAAGGCAAGCTGTCAAACTCATATGTGCCCAGAAACTTAGACAACTTCTTGCTAATATCCCCAAAATATCTACGACCTTCAACTAGTTTTGCATAAGGATCAACAAGCACAATGCTTCTGTCAAACCGACGCCCTTACCCCAATCTTGAGATCCATCTATTCGATACCCGTACAAAACATTGCTCCCAGGAAGATCCTGCACAATGAGAGGTGAAAACAATGTATTAACTAAATGTCTAAATGTGCATTTTGAATAGCTGTTCAGTGTTTGAATTAGAGAGAACCTGAGAATTCATTTTATTGATTGATGACCAAACGAATTCTTGTTACATGTGATGAGCCTCGGATCTATATTTATAGACCGGGCTAACACTAATAAACAAATACAGTCAGCATGCAACAGTTGTCACTGATGTAACTAACTGAATTAACTAGGGGAGAAATGATCATATACAAGCGAGCCGTACACTCACATTTGGGAGGAGAGGAGTTTAGGGAGCTTTGTAACAGAAATATGCACTAACTCTGCATAATCGGAGCAATATTGAACTTGCATAAAATGGAAGAAATGAAAATATGGAGCCAACGGTTCTTTTTCACTGTTCTTTTTCATTTAACCAAACGGAATAAAAACCAAAGGCAGGGAGGTAGGAAGCAACTTCTACCTGGTCAATCATGGGCATTAGTCCAATAGCACGAGCACGGAGGAAGGTACCAGGTAGCACAGGTTCCTGCTCAGAACATAATTTTTCAATTTTTGATTCAGTTAAAATTTTGATTAAAAGTGTAGACACATAATTCTGCTAAATATCACAGATAACAAGTTTTAAGTTTTGCTACCTGCATCAGAACCAGAACATCCATAGGATCACTATCTTCACAAAGGGTTCGTGGGATGAAACCGTAGTTGTGTGGGTAGACAACTGATGAGTAAAGAACACGATCAACCTAGGGTATTTATCTCATGTGTTAGCCATGCTTCAAATACATATAAAAGACTCAACTATTGCATTTATTATATATGCATAACCAAACAGAAAATTATTCAAATTAAATCCTTCAGCACAATAACATGCAATGATAATCTATCGTCAAATAATCAAGGATGCTACAATTAAAAGCGTTCAATACTAACAACACACCTTTATAAGTCCACTTTTCTTGTCCAGCTCATACTTAACCTTACCGCCTTTTCCAATTTCAATCACCTGCCATGAAAATACATTTACTTCACTAACAAAACACGGATAGAAAACACGAGTTCAGCACAGCAAGTTATAAAACAGAAAACAAAAACTTACACAATTGAAAACTGCTGGAGCGCCCGGTCCTGCAATTATATTATAAAACCATTTGTGAGTTTTCACCAAAATGATCCTGCATCAATATCTATTTATCAATGTTAGATTTATCGAAACAACACAACAGTTTTGTACCTATCTCTACATCATGCCAAGGGTGAGCAACAACAGTTCTCCTCGACATCGAAGAAAGTATTCGTTCATTGAGCTTAGGGTGAGACTTTGCCTCTTCATGGTTAGCCATATTAGCTTCACAAACAATAAAAATCACACGGATTTACTGCAGTTAAAACAATAATCAGAAGAATCCACTTAATTTATTTTCTTTGAATGATTGATTAATCTGCTAGTATGATGCATATCATTTAATTAGCGATAGAATTAGTAATATCAGAAACATAATTGAATTGGGCAATGATAATATAAAAAATAATGCGATTCCGTTCAAGTGTGGGTAACAAAGCAGAACTAAATCGAAAGAATCAAAGAGGAAAAAAACCAGAATCGGTTAAAATGGAAAAGCGATAATATCAATGATGAAAAGCATGAGTGAAGAAATGACTTACAGAAAGGGAGTGAATGAGAGTTTGGCGAATTGGGGGAGAAAAACAAAGACGGGTCAAAAAGTGTTTAAGTTAGCGGCGAAAGGTTGAATATGAGTCGTGTGATTTTAGTATCGGACGGTTGTGAATGGAGATGGGAGGGATTTGTAGGTATACCAAATACTCGGATATATCAGACAAATGGAGAAGAATGGAGAAGAAGATGAACAACCATATGGGTTTAATTTTGTGTTTCTGGAAATCTGATTTAGGGGTTAGGGGTTTAGAAATAAATTAACAAACCAAAGGCAGCGCTTTCAAGAAGCGCTGCTAAAGGTACCCCCCTTTAGCAGCGCTTTAGGCTTACCCCACCTTTAGCAGCGCTTTTAGATTTACACAAAGGCAGCGCTTTCAAGAAGCGCTGCTAAAGGTACCCCCCCTTTAGCAGCGCTTTAGGTTTACCCCCCTTTAGCAGCGCTTTTAGACTTACACCTTTAGCAGCGCTTTTTGAAAGCGCTGTCTAAAGCATACCCTTTAGCAGCGCTTTTATTAATTTTTTAATTTTTATTTTTTTTTAAAACCCTATAGCAACGCTTAGGGAGAAAAAGCGCTGCCTTTGATAAGGCCTATAGCAGCGCTTTTAATAAGCGCTGTCTAAAGTTTTTTTTTTTTGGATACCTACAGCAGCGCTTTTGCATAAGCGCTGTCTATGTAGCGGTGCCAAAACTCGTTTTTGGCGTAGTGGCTGCAGAAACAACCATACAGTTTCAAGAAATTTCAAGAAAAGTGAAAACCTATTCTTGCAACCTAGGTCGATTCAAGGCATTCTATTCATTCAAATACATTGCAAGAGGTTCCAGGAACGTTTTGCAATTGAATTCACACACCAAAGCTTTAAGAATCACGATATACAGTTTCACGGTTTGCACCTTTTATTCAAAATCGTATTGCTTAATTCATGCGCATTTAACATGTTTTTATGATTGTTTTGCATTGCTAGAGACCATACAAAGCTAATGGAATGGTTGAATTGAACTATGGTCCCCTGAATCGTGAGATGCCATGATCAAATTTCTAGGGTTCTTGAGCTTTAAATTAGGGCTTTCTGAATCAGGAAAAATTGGGACTAGTGAGATACATGACTGAAATCGTGAGACCAAGACGAATACAATCCATACCTCGCGAAATATTTATATGTACTGTGGTGCTATTCGCTATTTTTATTTGCAGGAGTTAGTGGGGGCTAAAAACCCCCGCTATTTGATATTATTTATGCAGGACAAACGAAGAAGATGATGAGGTGTTGGCATTTGATTGGTTAATTTGAAAAAGCGCGCGTTTGTTTTTATTTTACAGCATATTGAATTGTTTGCACATATAATAATTGTCTATTATCCAAATAATAAAAAGGTGCAGGTGGTTGAGTGGTTGGTGCGTTGGCCTGGAAACGTTGGGACCTGGGTTCGAATCCCAGGTCCCCCAAAACATTTGTGCTATTTTGTTTAATATATTCACATGCAGGTCTCAAAAGGGATGCCTACCATATGCTTCAAACCCCAACACGCCAGGTGTCTCTAAGCCTGGATCCAGTGGCCAAAATTGAAGGACCACCATACTCCCTGGTCAGCGCATGCGTAGCAAACTCAGAAAGTCAAACAGGCTGGAAGCATAATGGGCTTCAGAATTGCAACATACACCACACAATTGGGCCCAACACCCCCCTTCAAGTTTATTTCTTTTCTTTTCTTTATTATTCCTTTCATTTTAATTATTCATTATAATTATTATTTTCACTAACAAATTAATTTTTTCATAATAAATTCAGAAAACATAAAAAATATAATATTTTTTATTTATTAAATTTTAATTAGTTATTTTGTAAATAAATATTAACATAATCAATTTAGTTTTTAATTAGGTTAATTTTAATATTTTTGCAATAAATAAAAATCAATGTAGAATTAGGGTTCTTGACAATTTTAATCCTTTTGTTTTATTTTTCCCTTAAAAAACATAAAAAACTCAAAAAATATCTTTCTTTAATTAATTAATTAATTAGTCTAGGTTTAATTTAATTAAAAGCAAAATAATGAAAAATCTCTTTCTTTCTCAAAAAAGGGTCAAAACCCTAAGAACTTCTCCGATTCAATTTTTCTCGCGCGTATGTTTATTTTTATTTGATTATGTAATTGCTCCGAGGATGTAATAGCTTTAATTAGGACCCTTTTTATCGCTTTTATTAATTTTCCGCAATTTACTTTTCAAGGGTTTGTTTTTGGCGATGTAAATACCCGACGCCTTGTAATAGTTTAGTTTTATTTTCCGCAACTATTAACTGTTAGATGTATGTTAACTAGGCTATGCATGTCAAGATCTCTCTTAAATTAAAATCAATCGTAGCTCACCATAACATGTAAAGATAACATAACTGAAACTTGACACACTCGCATATGCCACTCCTAGGGTACGCCTCACTTGGTTGTCTCGACGTGGTCATTGAGTATAGGGTGTTTTAGAGGTCGCCCTCCTGTCTAAAGATCAAAGTTGCCTCGAAACGGTTGCCTCGATAAAAAATGATCTAGGACATTAGGGTTACCGCTAAGGCGTCCTACTATTGCTTTAGTGACCACATGTCCCTTCATCAAATTGACCCGAAAACTCCAACGACGGTGCTACCTACTTCTCAATAGTGGGATAACACTGTCTAAAGGAAATTTACACAGCTTAATTTCTTTTGAGTAGGTAGAGGTTCTTAGATACTTGCTCTTTTCAAAACAAAAATACTTTTCGCACTTACACTTTTCAAACAAAGTTTTCAAACAACACTTCATACACTCTTGAGGACAGATACAAGAGTTAAATCGAAGTTTTCAAAACAAAACTTTTTCAAAACCCACAAACACAAGAAAAGCAAAACATTTTTGAAAACATAGTGAGCAAGTACCTAAGAGCCCGTGGATAACCACTGATAGAAAGGGTGCTAACACCTTCCCTTTCTATAATCTACCTCCCGAACCCGAGAAACATCTCGAAAAGGAATTTTGCTGTGTTTTTGTCCTTTCCTTGTTGGAGAAAATAAAAGACGGTGGCGACTCTTGCTTACCGCGACATTTTGCGAAACGCAAACGCGAACCAGCATTCCAAAACAGTCAGTTCTATTTCAACCGATCACAGAACTGGCGACTCTGCTGGGGACTTTCTATAAGTGAGGTGTACCTTAGGATTAGACCACTATGTTTTCAATTGTATGCCTTGTATGCTTTAATTTTGTGGGCTTGTATCAGAGTTTTATAGATCCTAACCTGGATTGATCAGGACTTTATAAGTCTGTCGGGATACTAACTGCAAGTATACAGTTCAGTCGTTCTAGTTTTAAAATATTATCGAACCCACAGAGACTGAGGATCAATCGCATACGATCTAATGCTACAGTTTGTCTAACTAAGCGATGAATATTCGATTTTTGGGGGAGACAGTTTAATTAAAAGTAATAGTACTAATTATACCGGTATGTGATAATCGGACTTAGGGAATTCGATGAATCGCTTGGCCTATAAAGTATTTCGGTAAAAGCTAATTGTTTAAAAACCTGAGACATACACTCTCGTGTTTATGAAATAAGTCATGCTACTAGACCTAGTGGATGCACTTTAAATTTAATAACACTTTTTGAAAACAATTTGAATTTAATTAATTTATTAAAACACTCTCGTGTATTTAAAAATCAATGCTTCGTTACCACTATCTGGGTTGAACCCCAGCTCTCGCATGCAGGTTCTTGCCTTAATTAATTTCCCACTCTCGTGGCAAAATCGTGTTAATTAACCTCTCACTCTCGTGACAAGTATAGTTAAATTAATCTTGGAAATTGGAAACCAAAAATTGTTTTGTAAATATTTTTGGCCAAGGTATCATTGAATTCTTTCAGCTCTTACGGTCACATACCGATATTAATAATTTAGCCAGACATAATTAACTTAACAGCAATAAAGTTTAAAATATAATTCATGGCAATAATTGGCATATTATAAAAACTGAATAAATAATAATTGCAATATAAAAAACCTGGAATTACAGATGCTATAGTAATCTTGAGGTAATACAGTAATCCAATCTTCGAGCTTGACTTGCAGTAGAAATTCGTGTTAATTCTTGAAAGAAGAATTAACACTTAAAAATAGAAACTAATGCTTTGAATGAAAATTACAAGAAAATGAAAACAAAATTCCAAAACAAACAAATTGGAAATAACTGTAAAATAAAATAAATATTTGCTATGAGTAAAATTCTTCGACCCTTGGACTGTGCCTTGGTACTCATATATATAGCAGGAAAAATCAGCAGTTTAATTTTGAATTCTTGATGAAGTCTTCGTGGAGAAATTGTAGGAGCAGTAATAGTGGTGGCAATAAAATAGGAGACTCAGTAGAAAGAGGGAGAACTAGTCTGCCCTTCACGCCCACGTCTCCAATCCATGCGTAACGTCTTCCTTCACGCGCGTGACGGTCGTCACAGGTGGGTGACGGTCGTCACACGCCGAAGTGGTGCCTTACGCTCGTCAGGTGTGTGTGACGAGCGTTTCCTTATGTTGAGGGGTGTTACGCCCGTCACAGGGACGTGACGACCGTCACCTATCCAGAAGTCCCAACTTTGTATTTTTTTATTCTTTTTCTCTTTGTTTTTTGTCTAGCCTTCTTCATGT